AAAAGTGAGTCATATATTTAAAATTCCCAAATAAATAAATAAGTAGACGTTTCAGTCAAGTAAAATAATTGAATATTTACTAACAAATCTTATAATATAGGTGTTGGAATTAATTCGTAGCGTTTTACAAGAGATGGCACAAGCAGTACACTATTTCGTTGTTACCTATAGTTCTGTATGCATTGTAAACAGCTATCATAGGACGTCATTTGCCGTACATAACCTTTCTTGAAATCATAAATAACAACACTGTATAATTCATTGAATATGTCAAAATTTGTGCCAGATAAAGTGTTTTTGCGGGGAGTTCTACTTCATTACTTTAACATGAAGAAAAGCGCTCGAATTGTGACTGGAGATGAAAAGTGGATCCACTACGACAATCCCAAACGGAGAAAGTCATGGGTTAAGCCCGGCGAACCATCAACATCAGTGGCAAAGCCCAATATCCATGGCTCAAAGCTCCTGCTCTGTATTTGGTGGGATCAGAAGGGTGTCATATACTACGAACTGCTAAAACCGCATGAAACCGTTACTTTAATTAATGTATTTTTTAATGTTCATGTGAAATAAATAACGTTCTTTCATTAAAAAAACGCTACGAATTAATTAATATATAATAAAATTATTTATTTTATATAAGATAACATTAAGAGATAAGGAAAAATAATAAGAAGATATGTTTAAAGTTTCAAAATATAAATAATAAAGAGCATACAGCAACAATAGATGTAAAAGTGAGTCGTATATTTAAAATTCACAAATAAATGAATAAGTAGACGTTTCGGTCAAGAAGATTTGACCATCATCAGTACATAAAAGATGACAAATAATAAAAATATTACAAACAAGAAACAATTAACAGTAGTCGGAAGGTGTTACAATAAAATCAAATTCGAAATACATAAAAATTATTGAAAAGAAATACATAAAAATACAAGTGCAAAGTTCGCAAATTAAAATAAAGTGAAATAATGTTTTCCTTTCGCTTATGGTAAAAGTTGAACAGCGTGAAAATAATTCAAGAGAGATGAGTGATATTTTAATCTTATGATACAATGCTCTGTTACAATCCCTGTTATCAAGAGCGAAGCGCAATTTTGTGTAAAAGTACGGAATTTCCCAGTTCACGTATCTAATGGCATGAAAACTCACAACTAAGACATCAGAATAAGTAACAAACTTTTGTAACTGTATAAAAAAATTTATTTTTTTTTTTTAACAATTGTCGGAATTAAAAAATTTTTTCAGATACATGAACTGGGAAATTCCGTACTTTTATACGAAGTTGCGTTTCGCTCTTTAAGATAACAGGAATTGTAACAGAGCATGTATTTTATGTATCATAAAATTAAAATATCACTCATCTCTCTTGATTTATTTTCACGCTGTTTAACTTTTACCACAAACGAAGGGAAAATATTATTTCACCTTATTTTAATTTGCGAACTTTGCGCTTGTATTTTTATGTATTTCTTTTCAATAATTTTTATGTATAATACTTTGAATTTACTGTAACACCTTCCGACTACTGTTAATTGTTTCTTGTTTGTAATATTTTTATTATTTGTCATCTTTTATGTACTGATGATGGTCAAATCTTGACCGAAACGTCTACTTATTCATTTATTTGTGAATTTTAAATATATGACTCACTTTTACATCTATTGTTGCTGTATGCTCTTTATTATTTATATTTTGAAACCTTAAACGTATCTTCTTATTATTTTTCCTTATCTCTTAATGTTATCTTATATAAAATAAATAATTTTATTATGTATTATAAGATTGTTAGTAAATATTCAATTATTTTACAGATGTCGCGAAATTATATTCCGAAGAGAAAGAAAGTTTTATTTGTGATAAGAAATAAGTATTTGTATATTTTTGTTTGCCTATATATAAAAAAACGAAAAGGTAATGTTAAATGTTAAAAAGTCATGTTCGGTTTTCTTGATCAAATATACAAGGTGCGTCCCAAAATTTTCCGAACTTTTGAAATAAAACAACAACGGTTTACTTTTTTTTTCAAATTCAAATTTGTTTATTCAAAGTAGTCCCCATCGGACTCAATACAACGTTTGGCACGATCTAAAAGCATTTCGAATGAGTGTTTTATGTCGTTCAAAGGTATGTCCTTCAGAATAGTGGTACAAGCCCTTTGGATGTCTTCTACGTCCACATACCGCTTTCCTTTCATGGACAAATGCATTTTGCCGAATAGGTAGAAGTCACAAGGTGCCATATCAGGTGAATACGGGGAATGGTTGATTGTTAAAATGTCATTTTTAGTCAAAAAATCAGTGACAAGTGTCGAACGGTGAGATGGCGCATTATCGTGTAACAAGCGCCAACTTCCTTCTTCGCGATATTCTGGCCGAATACGACGAATGCGGTGCACCAAACGCTTCAAAACGCTTACATAGAATACAGCATTAACTGTTTGGCCTGCTGGAACGAATTCTTTGTGCACAATACCCTTGGAATCATAAAAACAAATGAGCATTGTCTTCACTTTTGACTTCTCAAAACGCGATTTTTTGGGTTTTGGGTCGTTTCGCGCCTTCCATTCCGCGCTTTGACGCTTGGTTTCTGGATCGTATTGAAAACACCACGTCTCGTCACCAGTAACAATGCTATAAAGGAAGTTTTGGTCCTTTTTGGCTTCCTTAATAATGTCCTTTGAATGTTGAATTCGAAGCATTTTTTGGTCGTCAGTCAACTTGTGTGGAACAAATCGTGCACAGACTTTTTGTAGGCCCAAATGTTCGGTCAAAATGCGATAAATCGTTGATTTGGGGATGTTCAATTCCATTTCCATGTATCTCACTGAAGATTTTGGCTCATGCTTGATGAAATTACGCACAACTTCGATGGAATTTTCGTTAATTGTCGATTTTGGGCGACCTGTATGTGCGTCGTCATTTATGTCCTCACGACCGTTCTTGAATCGCGTATACCACTCATAAACACTGGTACGGGCTACACAATTATCACCATAAACTTGTTTCATCAAATTATGGGTTTCGGTAAATGTTTTACCAAGTTTAAAACAAAACTTAATATTGGCTCTTTGTTCGAAGTTCATTCTCGTACCGATGTATACAACATACTGACACTTGAGACGCCATAACTTCGTTTCCACTGAACCAAATGTCATGAAATTTTCACTGGAAGTCAGGTAGGGATGTACCTTTCAAACGCGCAATCGAACACACAGATGGCGCCACCCGACCTATCCCTATTGAAAAAGTTCGGAAAATTTTGGGACGCACCTTGTATTTTAATAATAAAAATGAATATAGTTTGTATTTTGTAATTATTAATGTTTTTTTATTCATTTTTTACAAATAGATTTGATTTATATCTCAATAATCGTCATTGTCACAATCATCTTTTAGGCCGTCACATTTTATTCCGCGATATGGTGTAATACATAATTTTTGAAGGAGATTAGAAAATTTATTTTTATACATAAACAAAAAATAATTTTGATTACTAATATTTTCCTATTAATAATAGAAGCTTTAAAATAATTATTCGTACAAGAATTAAATACGAATAATAAAAATTAAGAAAATGGTTGTTGAATTTCAACTTTGCGTTTTTTCATCATATTTACCCCGATTGATTTTAATATTCCCATCATTGGTCAAATTAGTTAGTCATTTTAAAAGCGTTATGTTTTTCTGCTAGACCTTGTATTAATTTTATCATCAAAGGAAATTAATCAAAATATAATAACATACGAAATTTGTATATCAGTTAAAATTTAAAAATTTATTTTATAGCGTAAATCTTAAATTAAAATGATGTTAATCTTTTGAGTGTCGGATTTCAAAATGTAAAAGCGGTTTCAAAATATCGAAGATATTTCTGTGTATAGATTTAAATGAAAATTTATGTGGGTTTTCAAGACTGAATATAAATTTGATATTAGAACTTCATAGTCCAAAATGCTAATATGGTTCAAAAATTGTAACGTATTGACCTTATTTCGTGCATCTTTGTTTAATAATGTATTTGAAATTGTTAAATATAAATTTGATGTTAACATAATAAATAAATTTTAAGGTGATAAATACAATGTGGCGGAAAATTTTACAAAATTCTTAATATATCAGTATATATCATTACATTTTGTCATACATTTTTATGTGTTATAGTTTTTGAAATCGCTGCGGATTTCGAATTTGATGTTTTATAATTACGTCAAATAATATTTTAAAAATGCAACTAAACATTTTACAATAAAATATATTGTATTGTATTTAGAATTTTAAAGGAAAATGTATAATTTATGCTATAGAAGATTTATTGTATATAAAAATTTTATTTCTAATGTTTAAAAAAAACTTATAAAAATCCGTTGTATTTTAAAAATAAATTTTAGAAATTTTAATTTTAATTTAATTCACTTATTCCTTAATATTCCTGCATATATGGCTATTAAAAGAATTCAACCTATTTGTTTTATAAAATTCTGAAAGTTTTATATTAAAGCCATTATTTTGAATTTGCAAATTTTGGTTTAGAAAATCAAAATTTTTAATTTTAAATACTCCTAAAAAATTGTAATCGATTAGTATGTTATGATTTCTATTTTGTAATGTCTCAGTTTTTTAACATGAAATTTGTATATTAGACTCTTACATGCCCTTTTATTATATTTATATTTTATTGATATCAAGAGTCCTTTATTATTATTAATAAAAAATTATATTTTTAAACAATTTTTAATAGTATTTTTAAAAGAAGACGATTAATTTCATGACATCTGTAGACGTTGCAGATGCTCGGAGCTTTCTTAGTCTGTAACGTAATAGAGACTTAAGGGATTAAAGAAAACTTTTTTGTTTCCTTTAAAAAATAAAGTATTAAGTAATTTATATATAGTTTTATTTATAGTTTTGCACACTAATTCAAATATTTATGTATTTATAATTACTTCTTTGAATATCTATCAAGATATATTTAATAACAAAGACATTTTTAATTAGGGGACTTGAAGGTGCAAACAACAGCGCAATTGAAATATGTGACAGAAGAAGATTTGAGTGCGATAGGAATGAGCAAGCCAGAGATGCGTCGTCTAAAGAAATACTTTCAGAAACATTTTCCTCAAAATTATTTATCCAAATTTAAGAAAATGCTACTACCAAAACGCGAAGAGCAACCTTCTGGTATTATGGGCATGTTACCAGAAGAAAGACATAACAAACAATCAGTAATACGTGTTCCCAATAAACACATGATTCCGGCTGATGCAATTATTGTAAATAAAGAACTTGGGACTGGTGAATTTGGAGTCGTACAGCAAGGAGTATGGACTAATGATGGTGAAAGGATACAAGTTGCCATTAAATGTCTGTCACGCGAGAGGATGCAGAATAATCCCATAGAATTTTTGAAGGAGGCCGCGATAATGCATGCAATTGATCATGAGCATATTGTGAGACTATATGGCGTCGTGCTCGATACGAACTCGCTGATGCTCGTTACAGAATTAGCTCCACTGCGCTCATTACTAGAATGCCTTAAGGAACCCAGTTTGCGCGCTAGTTTTCCTGTCTTATCGCTGTGTGATTTTGCTGTGCAAATCGCTGACGGAATGCAATATCTGGAAGCGAAAAGATTGATACATCGTGATCTTGCTGCCAGAAACATTCTTGTGTTTTCTAAGAACAAGGTAAAAATATCGGATTTCGGATTATCACGCGCTTTAGGAGTGGGTAAAGATTATTATCAAACGAATTTCAATGTTAATTTGAAGCTGCCTATTGCGTGGTGCGCACCTGAATGCATATCATATTTGAAGTTCACGACGGCGAGTGATGTTTGGGCATATGGAGTAACATTATATGAGATGTTTAGTTACGGATTTCAGCCTTGGGCAGCGCTGACCGGCCATCAAATTCTTGAAGCAATAGACGAACCTAATTTTCAGAGATTAGAACAACCTGAGTGCTGTCCAAAAGACTATTTTACTTTGATGCAACAATGTTGGCAACACGAACCCTCAAAGAGGCCCAAATTCTCCGAATTGATTAATGTACTACCCGATCTGAAACCTGAGCAAGTGCAGGCAGTCCAAGATAGCACCGAGCCAGGTCAGCTCGTTTACAGACAGAGCGATATAATCACAGTTTTGGACAAAGGTAGCAGTAATACTTTGTGGAAGGGCGTCCTAAATAATGGCAAAACGGGATTTTTTAATCCGGCTCACACAATCGCATATCTTGGATCCAATCTACCTAGTAATAAACTCGGCGAATTTACACGAGGAGATGGTAAAAATGCTTTCTCCTCGCAACGTAGAAAAATTCGAACGGACATGATATCCTCTCCACAAGGCGATCTCAAGCATACTGGTCACGTAGGTTTAGATGGAGCATATTTTGGTGATATTAGTTTTCTTGGAAAGTATCCGCATTTGCCTCGTCAAGTTGTGACGCCGTACAAACCGCAGGAAGATGCAACCGATAATTTTAGTAAAATTTCAACTCAGAATGCAAGAAGCATAGACATGAATAGGGAATCGACAAGAGAAAGTAGAAGCATACAACAAGAAACTGAAAGTAAACATGGTATATTTATCTTTTATTACAATAATCTTTTTATAAAGCAGAATTATTTTATAAAATAAAATTTAGATAATTATTTACAATAGGGCCTTTTCCGAATTGTAATATCTTTCTTGCAATCTTAATAAAAATTGAAATGACCTAACTTTTTTGCATGGACTTAACTCGTCAGTAATTCGGTTCAGGAAGCAAAAAGAGATTCAGACTAGAGAGGAAATGCAATTTGAAAATTTGGATTTAATAAGATACAATAAAATTATCTTTATTTGGAGAAAAGGATGTGTGGTACAAGCGCGATATACATATATGCGCGCGCGCGTGTGTGTGTTGTGTATGTGTATATTTATTGTGTCTGGCGGAACTCGTGGTTACAATGTGTGCGTATATATGTATTTACACCGAATTTTGGCACACGGTCTAACGCAGCGTTTTTGCGCGGCTTTTGGACGGCATGCCTTGGACGCGGGACGTGTGGGGTGCGGGATGTCAGTCAGCTGTGCTACGCGTAGCATCGTTGATTGGTTTGCGGGAGCGTGGATACACGCCAAGTCCGTTTCACGATGCATTATTCTAATAGGGCGTTTTCTCGATGCAATGAGAAACAACGCCGAATGTTTCAGTGGCGACCTTGAATGAGGAGATGTTGATCGGCGGTATCGGCCGAGTTCATGAATCTGCTATCTATGTTATGCGTGAAGGGATAGCGAGCGCATCGCGCACTTGTGGATGAACAAGGGCCATAACAACGGCGATCGACTAGTTACGATGTGCGTTGTTATAAAATCTTTGTTACGACTTCAACAATGATAAATTATTGCAGTGCCGATCAACCGGAAGCGTTCGAAAAGTGTGTAATCTATCTATTCTTTTAACTATTTATTTCCAGATAAAAATGAGGAAAGCCTTCCTCAGTGACCATGATCTTGACATATGTTGTCAAGAAAAAGTTGAAAAAGTTATTATTCGTTAAAGTTATTTTAAAAAATTAGTTTTGAAAAATATGGTTTTAGTGAAATAAATAATATTTAAAAGAACAAATTCTCTGCTTTAAAACCAATTTTCTGTTTTAAAAACATTTTTTTTTGAAGCAGAGAATTTGTTCTTAAGTAGAAAGGGACCCCAGAATACTTCTTATGGAAATGAGGTCCTGATCAAATTTGCTGAAATTTTGATATGATAGGTTCTCGCTCACTAATCAAAAGTTTCAATTGTCACCAGGACAAATAATCAAAAACTTTAAAGTTATGGCGGCTAAAAGATTCAAAATTGACCTCCATCATCAGGCGGTATAACGTGATGTTACGTACGTGAGATTTAATTTAATCTGTTTCATCTCTTTAAAAGTCTTTATTCACACTTTATTTTTATGTACTATGCCCGTACTCACGAGTGATGGTACAACTTCATCGCGTGCTCTATTATATTTCTTAAACAAATGAATTCTCTCTCGGGACGACACAATAACCAGACAGAATTTTTGCAAAATATCAGAGCTTTTCTCAAAACAAGTTGGGCGTACCACTCTTCCGTTAATTTTCGCTTATTTTACGATAGTTACGCACAATTACAATTCGCGACGGCAATAGTGGTGGGTCGTTATACGTAGATAGGAAAATTGTCGGAGAATGAGAGAGATAGGCTGCAAGAATAATACAGAGATTAACAAGAAAATAAATATCAAGTGTATAAATATTAAGTATATAAATATTAAGATGTTGATTTACAATTGATTTTCATGACCTGGTCTTGAAAAACAACAATAGAGTCGATATTAATGCCGATTAGGTAATCGTATTAGATCTCGATACATCTCTGCTCTTCGAAAGATCACAAAAGAAAGGCGAATATTTCGTCAACCAAGCGCGGAATAAAGTTTATCGCTGGTACATAAAGTGATCGCACACTGTCAAAATAATGAAGTTATCAGAATAAATTACGTCGTCGCGAATCGGAACGGATTTCTAGCACGGATTTTACAGTTATTGTGATATCGCAATCAACGAAAGTCTCTACTGATCAATACATAAATGAAATAATGTGAAGTAACTGTGGCAAGGGTCGAGCGTTAATAGGCAATTAGTATTTCTCTCGAATAGAAAGGATGTTCGGGCGGATGACATGTGGCTCGTAACTTGCTAACTTACACGGCAGCCATTCGGCCGCTCGAAATTTCTCGAGTTTTCACGCATGATTCATCCAACGCCATAAACTCCATGATTAGCAGCTTTACAAATTCAGCAATGTTCGTCTCACCCAATGATTCTTCGTATCTTCCAATATTCTCGAAACGATCATCTTAGGCTTTGTTTTCGATAACCAATAATCCTAGGAGATCATCTTCTCACAGTTTTTGTTGGTCAAAATAGGAGTGCCGGCCAGAAGTTCTCCGCGAATTTAAGCAGGTCGTTCGATCCCCTTTTAATTGGGGCCATGTCCCGCATCGATTGGCCCTTATCAATCACGCGGCCCTGCGAATCGCATAGAGTTTCGCGGGCTGCAAATCCTTGTAACGCTTTAAGGCGCGTAACATAATTTGAAAGGACATGTTGTCTGCAACCTCCTAGCTATTCGGGTTGGCTCGGAAAGCTCTGGACAGCTCCGCTACTTGCTCTGTGCGAGGTGTCCTTATCTCCGACTGATATTACCTTAGTCACCCAGCGTATCTGGAGCTTTCTCCTTCTACAGTTCTTTTCTATAATTTGTGTACGATACAGCAAAGCTCAAAACGGCGCATTACAAAAATATACGAAATTATATGACATGCGTGTCCGAGTAAGGCTCCTAGTCTATTATGACATGATAGAAAGATTACATGGTATGCTCAGTTTGCAAGGCGTCTCTCCCTAATTTTCTGCTCTCTCACTTGTTCGGTGATCGTTTATAGTCCCAATTTAGCTAACTTTAGTTGTTGTCGCACATCATGTAGGTTCAGTTTCTTTTTATCATGTACTACCTAGTACTATCAACGTATATTCGCTTCTACTCTAATTCCTACTCACTTTAATGCGTTCGAGTGAGTAGGATCTATAATAGGAATTGAAACACATTTTACAAATATATACTTAAAATATCTATACTTTTTTATAGAATTTTTTATATATATATATATTAATTATATGAATTCTGAAATATTGTATGTAAGATTTATATAAAATAAATTTGACATATTTTTTAAACAGTTATAAAATAATACAGAAATTTAAAAAATTCCGAATTTTTTAAATAATATAAATAAATAAATAAGTATAATCTGTACCAACAATATTTATACCAACGTATAGCTCGGTGGAATCCTTAGAGATTATTTGTTTCTTCGTAGTTGGCAGGCCTGGGTCAATGAACGATGCTTCCACGAACGATACTCGCAAAAGAGGCGTGGTTTGCCCAAACTGAGCACACCATCAATCCCTTCCACCATGTATTATAGTATTTCCGTCTTTCTCTGTGTAGTGGTCTTTCTTCTTTCGATGATGGGTGAGACAAGATTATAAAAACAATAATCCAGCCATCGAGCACGGTCCATCAGTGATACTAGATCTAAAAGCGAGACTAACTTCAAAAAAATAAGTTCTTAACAAATAAATAAACTAAACGAATGATCAGCGCACGCTCGCGTGTGCACTCGCACGCGCGTCCGCTTTGGCGCTCGCCCTCTGAATCGGGAGGATGCAAGATTCCCGAAGAATTATTGCAGAAGTGACGGACAAAAATTGTCACGTCACAGTACACACACTTATACTTACACATGAATACGCACGCACGCACGCGCACAGAGAGAGAGAGAGAGAGAGAGAGAGAGAGAGAGAGAGAGAGAGGGGAGGGTGGGAGAGAGGAGGGGATAGAATTTTTACTTTAACGAATAATAATGGGTATTTTTTATTTATTTTATGACACAAGTATCGTTCTATCTTTGTCACTCTCTGAATGTCAACAAGGATAGAACAACGTTTGTGTCGACTTGTGTCATCAAATGGAAAGCATTCAATGTACGTTTGGATGCAATCATACACGTGAGACCTTTCAGTAATGACCAGATCCGAATCTCGGTGTGCCGTTTTTTCCCATTCTACGCGGTGCGCCACGGTTATCCCACCTTCATTGACAATATTTACACGGCTTTGTTTAAGCCGAAGTCATAACATCTAATGTTATAATTACTGATGTTAGATATAAACTCTGTTTTTTTTTTATGACGAAGTTCTCATACAGCACACTTTATCCTAGAGATATTCTTGCGACATTCTCAAAACGTTGAGTGATTTCTAAGATTAAAATTCAAGAGTACAAAAAAGAGCTACAGACCAAACAATTACATGCAATTTATAAACAACAATTTCGACTTAACACAAAGTCATTATTAATGTCATTAACAATAAATTTTTTTTTAATCTATTAGAACTTGCATATTTAATCTTAAACTAGAAATTTAAAATACCTATTACTGTCGAAGCTGGATCTCCATTGCTTTAAATAATTCAATCTTGAATTACTAATATACACTATATATGTATTTGCATATATACGAGTACCATATTGTAATCTTTTCGAATTGCATGCCGAATTGTTTTTCCGTACTTATAAACGCAATTGAAACTACTCTAATAATAACAAGAAATAAATTGACAAGCAATTTTAATAATTTGATGCTATCATCAAGCATCATATTGTATTATAAAGATGTTGATATATTGCAACTGTTAATGAATTTATTGCGAAAAATATTATCTCGGCCAGGACTTAAACCCGAATCTTTTGTATTCCGTACGAGCGTCCTAAGCCATTAGACTACCGAGGTCTTAATAATATTCTTCGCAATAATGGCAATTCGAAAAAATCACAATATGCAAGTACATATATAGTGTATATTAATAATTCAAGATTGAATTATTTAAAGCTATATATAATATAATAAAGATTTAGCTTCGACCGTAGGCATTTTAAATTTCTAGTACTTATTGTGTTTCTCATATATGCTCTAAAATAAAAGATTCTAA